TTATTTCTGTCTTCAAACGAGTGGTCAGGTCACCTCAACTTATGAGGCTCCCCATCCAAACATCAACTTATGTTTAGAAATAAAAATAGCCAAGTTTTATATTATCTCTCTGCCCTTTGTGTTATCAGGGGCATAAGAGCAACTACCCAACTTATGGATAAGTCAGCCTGCTCAAAGTTAGCACTCAATTTTGTACTCTAAATCTTATTTTCTCCTCTGCTTTACCTGGTACCGGCTTATATGGCTAGATCTCCCAACTTATGGCGTCAAGCCTGCCAATGATATACGTAGTATATAGTTATATCAGATTGTATACTCAGGTTCCACTTATGTTCGCGACTCATGACTTGATCACACCAACTTATGGTGTGACTAGCCTGCCAAAACAAGTAAACATAAGGCATAAGACTGGTCCACACCAACTTATGGTGAGGCTGGTCAGCCTGAACATTTGGCATGCACAAAGAACTGAACCACCTCAACTTATGCAGTGAGGGGTCCAGCCTCTGCCTGAAAAAACGAAGAAAGGTATATAACTATAACACACCAACTGATGGTGTGGTTAGTCAGCCCATACAATGACATATAGCGTAGAACTAGGCTACTCAACTTATGAATAGTCTAACTCCGCCTAAATAAGCAACAGGTGTGTGTGGCCGAACAGCCCGCAACTTATGTAGTCGCCCAACCTCCGCAACATAACAACAAATAATGTCACACTTGTTATTCTGTCTAAATTCACACAGATAATCTGACTTTATCATACATATTCGCTAATTTTACCTTTTAGATCATGTTATGAATTCAAAACAAACAAAAAACAGTTAGCTTTCTCAGCCATACTCACAAACACGCAATAGCAAAGGGTAATACAGTTTAAGGGAAGGGATCACACGCGTAAAACGAGCATTATACCTAAGTGTCCCTTGCCTCCAGAACCCCGCCTGGGCTCCGGCAGGGCTCCCGCAATCGGTGGGTGGACCTCCCACAAGGTCTTGTTGCGGTCCTACGGGTTGCAATCCTGCCTGCCACCTTTCTCTCGTAACCTCAGACTAGACTTAGAGTAAGAAAGGCAGAAGGAGAGGTTTCAGACGCTCGAGATACAAGAGAGGGACAAACTCAACTCGCAGGAGAGGGCTTTGGTATCTTCAATCACTTGAGGGCCCCACAATGATGGCGAAGTAAATGCGCAGTAGCGACGATCCAATCACGGCCGGAACACAAGGCACCAGTCCCCAGACACACCTCCAAGTCGCAACAGGGACCCCCACTTCAGGGTCTAACCATCCTTCCAAAGCCCCGCCTCTTCCCTCTTGACCAACTACCAGCTATGTAGTAGTATACAACGCAAGCACGGTAAACGCAACGATGTACTTATGCGGAACAGCGAGGTGCAGCCAAAAAACACCATAGATGTAACGAGCGTGAGGCTGAGGGTGAGCCGAGGGAGAGGAAAGAGAGGGGGAGAGTGAGAGCAAACACACACACTCACTCACTCGACACGACGGACTCGGACTAAGGATCGGACGCAGACACAGTGGCAAGGCACAAAGTCGAAGTCTTGGATTCCCGAATGCCGAAAACAGCCAGTCACACTGAGTACGAGTACAGCAGCAGAGAACTGGTACGAGACTGGTCCCCGTACCATACGGGGAGCCGGTATAAGTACCGGTGACACGTACGGTACTAGGGGCATTTCTGCAAAGGCCACGAGGGCAGAACTGAAAAATGCAGTATTTGAAAGTGGCGCCCGAATTGCAGCATGGCGCCAGTTGTCCAAAATCCTACGGTACCAAAGGAGGGGTTTGGAAAAAGGGTGTCAGGCCGAAAATGGGATGCAGCTGAAATAGCAAAAAGATAGACCAGGGATCGAGCCCTGGCGAAGTCCATAACACTATCCCCTCCCTCTAGAAGGCAACGTCTCGGCTGCCAAAAATCATGAAGCAATGTTGAAATCTGTGAAGGACGGGACGGGGCCGATCACTGGTAAACAAGTCGAAAGGGAAGAGGGGTATAATGTGGGTGGCATGGGCTGCGGGAGTAAGAGGGAACGGGGTTTGGTACCGGTGAACAGAGTTGTCCTACTGATGAACTAGGGGGGGTTGGAAGGAACAGGATAGTCCGACAAATGAACTAAAGGGAAGATAGGGAGCAGGGTGGTCCTACTGATGGACTAAGGGGACTGCATGGTTCGCTATAGGTTAAGGGGAAACAGAGTTCAGGGAACAGGGAACTTCTATTGATGTTCTACTGAGTAAGGGAAACGGTGTTCAGGAAAACAGGGTATTTCTATTGATGTTCTACTGGGTAAGGGAAACGGTGTTCAGGAAAACAGGGTATTTCTATTGATGTTATAGTGGGTAAGGGGGACAATGGTTAGGGAAACAGGGATCTGCTAATGATGTTCTACAGGATTGTCAAAGTCAGCAAAAAATAAAAATGAAAATGTTTGTACAGGATGCGAAAGATGGTGTGTCCGAAGGAGTCGGAAGCAGAATCTCATGTAGGAACAGAGTGTCCAAGTGTCTTGAAAGGGGGTCTGCAGCGGTCTTCAGCAGCTGCGATAGGTAGAAGTCCAAGAAGCGTAGCAGTAGTTCAAGTATCAAGGTCCAAGTGCTAGGGTGCGTCCGGTACACGAACTGCAATGAGGTCTGATCTGGGAAGCAAGGAAGTCGCAGACTAATGCAAAGATCCATGTCACAAGTTGCTGCTCCCGTAAGTCCGCGAATCGGGATGTCGGCCAATGAAACAGCATGGTGGCCAAACCAGCTGCATAATCTCCATGAACAGTGAGGCAGCAGGCCATCGTCCTCGTGCGCTTGCCATTAGATCCTTTATCGTCGGCGTCACGCAAGTTCACAAGCATTGGACAAGAGAGACAAGGTAGTGGAGAGGACAGATGGGACAAGGCTACGTAGGATTAGCACGATCATAGGCGCGGACAAGTTTCATGGCGTTCTTAAGATTAGAGAGAGGTTCCCATGTAGATTCTTCGTTGGGGTATCCGGTCCATTTGACTTTGTATTCAGTGATTGATTCCGGATGATCAGACACCTGAGTGGTTCGTCGGCCGATGATGGTTTCGACAACGAATTCAGGACCTATGGGTAGCATGATTGGTGGAGGTCTAGGATATGGGCGGTCGGTGAACTGGAACGGGGATTCATGGTGTTCTTTTAGGTACTCGACATGGAAGACTGGGTGGACACGACTCATGTCATGGGGGAGTTGGAGTTTGTAGTTGACGGGGGAGGTTTGTTCAATGATGGGGAAGGGACCGAGCCACTTGTTCGAGAGTTTCT